TACAACAGGCATTACAAAAAAAAGATAATAAAATAATAAAAGTAAACACCACAGGTATACAATACATGTTTTAAAAGGCATACTGTAATTCGAATATGAGCAGCGCAATTAAAAGCAGCCAAAGAGATATGTTTTTAGTCTCGATTTAAAAATAGTAAGAGTTTCTGCAGACATGCATTATTTGGGTAGTTTGTTCCAGATAGTCGGGGCATAATAGCTAAACGCTGCCTCTCCATGTTTTGTTTTTACTCTCGGAACCGATAGCAGACCCGTCCCAGAAGACCTGGGGCACCTTGATGGTTCGTAATTATGTAGGAGATCAACAATATACTTTGGTCCTAAACCATGTAATGATTTAAAAACTAGTAATAGTACTTGCACTTAGATTACCAAAATAAAACTATACTGAGACCCTAACCCATTGCTATTAGCAAGACAGTTAATAACTTGATAATACCTGAAACAGGGCTTTTGACGCATCATAGTCCTGTATGTCCTCATAGACCCTGGGTTCATTCTCACTGAGGGCTGTCCTGTAGTCTCCAAAAATAATTGGGTCCCTCATGATTGACTCCATGTCGGACTTAAAATGCTCCTCAATCAGATTCTTTATGTGGCCTTGGACCTGGTGATAAATAACACATGTTGGTAAAGGTAGCTAGAATACAACACTTCAAAACTATTCTGCATACAGTAGAGGAGCCTATGTAATTAGATTAAAAGGAGCAGTTGTTGTTTTTGTCCGTGCAGTCAAAGCAGCAGAATATACAGTAAATATGTACTACTCTTATTAACAATAATTACCAAGGCTTTGTCATTTTCATCAATGAGTCTGTCATGGAAGATTCTCAGGCATTCATTTCTCCAGACACGCACAAATTGGTTGACAGTCAAAAACCTATCAGAAAGAAATCAGGTGAAGCGATTACATTACGAAACATACACTTCTAACAAAGTCTAATTGAATGTGGTAGATCACACCTGTCAGGTTTGGTCAGGGTCAGCCCATTGTAGACCCTGGACAGGTCCCTCAGGTTGAAGATGTAGTGGAACTTGGAGGGGGTGGGGGGCAGATCTTTGATGATGTTGCTGTACAACTCCAGTGTGCACAAGGTGACTTTATCACAAACCTTCTGTATGGCGTCTTCAAATTCCTGAAACATTGTCCAAGTTTATAAAATCTGATGATTAAGATTCTGACATTAATTTAAGTGGAAAAGAGAAATACTCACTCTGGTGTGGCCTTTGATAATGGAAGCGTAGATAAGCTGGAGAGACTCCACTGCAGGGAAGGGGATGTTGAAGACACTGAAGAGCGAGACGAAGCGGGGGTCCACCTCGTTCCTCCCCCCTCCTGCCTTCCCCATGGACGCAATAAAACCAAGGTCCTTGAGGGTTTTGTGGTTAAGATCCTTCCCTCGGTCATACATGCCTCCTCGGTCCAATAACAGCCTCAGCAGTGCGATAGGCTGTTGCGTGCCGTAGCTATCGACCTGGACGAGCATACGATACATTATTACACAGCTTAGTTGAATACTCGATTCTGATTGGTCTGTTATGGCAGATTCCTTATTACAGCGTATTTCTCGCTTATTCATTAAGGTAACACCGGTCAGAGAGGCCTCATCGTCTCCTCCGCAATTATTAGGGGTGAGCGGAAGTACAAAGAGGCTGATTAGATTATAATCATGGTATGGGCTCTGGCAGTGTTTCAGGACTTGTTAGAGGAAAATAAACTGTGAACAGACTTGGACAGTTACAGAAAACATTGATCAGTGCCGCCGTCATTTTAAATGAAATTGTTATTGCCGCAGTTTCAGCCGCTGTAATGTTTTTTTTCTTAGCGGAAGCAATACGATCATTTTCAAGCCAATAACAGATTAACAGATAATCATTTTAATTAATATCAGGATTCAAGTCGTTAGTGTATTTAGTATGTGGCCGTGTAAGAAGCGGGATAATGTGCAGCAAGGCAGTCATTATCGAAAAAAGAACAATAACCGCCTCGCTGCACATTATCCCTAACATAATATCAAGCATACACGGGCTGTCACAGTGAAGGAGCTGAGAGCCTGGAGAATGTACCTTAGGCATATTCATGTCATCTATGAGGACCAGCAGTCTCTTCCCCATAGTAGGCCCATAGATCTCTTTGGTTCTTTTCTCCACATTGGCCTCCAGGTTCCTCTGCAGGTCCATGGAAGTCGTTCTGGATGATAGGTTGATGATCAGAGTAATCTAGAAACAGATGGTAAGAAATGAAATCCCCTCAAGTGACAGAAGAAATTAGCAAATTTGAGGTTAGATAGTGACATTACAATTCTGTCTGCATTGAGGTTCTTCATGAAGTTATGGATGGTGGCAGTCTTGGAAGTGCCCGACTCTCCGACCAGCAGCACCGGCCTCTTTATCTTCACCATCTGTTCCAGGATCCAGCTGGCTCTCGTGGTGTCGATAGTTGGTACTTAAGCAAAGATGAAGGATCAGTTAATTAAAGTCGAAGAAAGGGCTTCGGAGGGCCTACAGGTTTAAATCCATGTGTATGAATGCAGTCACTTGGTTTTTGCTCTTTACCCAGAATATCAGCAAACTTCATCTCAGGGTTGTAAATGTATTTTGGGACCAGAGAACTCCAGGTAACCCACTTCTGCTGTGTTCCATCAAAATGGAAATCATACAGGGTCGGGAGATAGCCTATATGGATTCAGAAAATGTGTGATTAACAAAAGGATAGAAAGTGACATGATAAAACATCCTTATAAATGTGGGTAAGATAATAATATCAAAAATATATAACTGTTTTTTTCTCATCATGATATCTATTCATTCTACAGAAACCATGTTTATAGATTGTTCTACAGTAAGTGCATGCAATGATATATAAAATGACGTACTTTTTGATAAAAGACCATCCTTATATATCTACTCTAGTTATATCTTCCACCATTATTCTATAGTATACAATATAACATGTTATCCACCATCAACTATAACCTTAAAGGTCCCATGTCATGCTTTTCCGGTTATTACCCGTCCTCTTGTGTGTTATGAAGGTTGTTATGCATGTAAACGGTCTGCAGAGTCACAAACCCTCAAAGTACACCCTGTAGTGAGTACAACTCTAACACAGAAAAGGCCTGTCTATGCTGCCCCAGAACGCCTCGTTGGAGATTTCTCTTTTTCCATTGTTTACTTCTTGGGTATAGTGACGTATTTGGGGTATAGTGACGTAATGTAACGTCCGCGGAGCCGTTACGTTTGGACCAATCCGCGGACTTCCACACACACACACACACACACACACACACACACACACACACACACACACACACACACACACACACACACACACA